CTGTGGTTCCTAATTATTGTGATCCAACATTTGCCTCGCATTTCAGGATGAAAAGACAAACATTTCAGGTGAAGGGTAATCCTCTTCTTACCTCCAAGACTGTGTTATGATTTATATGGCCTTATTACTTTTATTGTGAGTATTAGGCTTATCATTATTGCTGATCACTGTTGTTGTGCTATGATATTGTAATATTTACCATTATATAATCAGAGGGGTATAGAAAAGTTTATGAAAGTGTCACTCCATAATACAATAGCAAAATATATAAATATGTATAGTATTTTTATGTTACATTAATCAGTATTTAGCACACCTTCCTAAGGAAAGGATATGGACCAGAAGACATTGCAATTACTAAATTATATTTAGACAGCCTTAAAGAAGTTACAGATCTATACTTGTGCCCTTATTATTTCAGTTATTTTGCCTTTAATGTAAATAAACATGTGTAAACAATATACTTGCTCTTGTGAGTTTATTTGGATGTTAATTACATTGTGCGAGCTGTCTCTTTAATACCGCGTGGTTTATACACATGTTGCTGCTGATTGGGCTGACATGTTTAACACACCCACCAAACAAGAGAAAACACATCTCAAATCCCGTTGCACACCGTTTCCAGGAAACATGTCGTTAAAACCGGAAACCGTAGCAAAACGGTGCATACCGGTTTGAGCTTGAACTTGCCTCAGGTCACTGAAACCAAACATTTTTGAAAACGCCTGCCAGGGTGAAGATTTTCAAAAACTCTGGTTGCAGTGTTATCGTGTGTAGACCGCGAAGGAGTTTTTGGCTTTTGACGTCGGAGCCTGCGCTGTTATCTCCGCCTACTACTTCTGATTGGCCAACATGGTTTTACGGCTGAGATTATATCGCCACCTGTTGGTTTGGCATGCTCTTGACAGTGCTTCATAGCATGCGTTTGCGTTCCCTTTCATAGGTTCACTTCAATGCTGCGATGGCGTCATCGCTATGGGAACACCTCCGGTGTGACGAATGTCTGAAGCCCTTATACCATCACGCCAATTCATTGGCCAGTAGTGCTCGTTTTCATGTGGATGGACATTTTTTTTTAAACGGAAGAAGGAAAAATTCAGTTTATAAAAATACCCGTGTTCATGTGGACATTGCCTATATTTTCTAAAATTATAAATATTGCTAATTAGGTTTCATTTATTTTTATTTCAGTTTTCAGTTATGTCTTACTCTGGACACTGTGTGATGATCACTGTAGGATTCAGGCCACGGCCAGGACTCGGCTCGCCCGGTGCCTCAATCTGATTGGACAGCTTATAGCTATTAAAAAAACACAAAGACATCTTGAAACTTAATCAGGGTGTATCTGAGATGTTCAGAATAGAGTTACAGAAATGTCACAGACCTTTCCTCTTCACGCAGAGAAGGTGCGCTGTGATACCACTGAACAAACGTCTCATCGGTTCTGAAAATGCTGTTTTTACACGAGGACTGAAGGAGGCGAATTTGAGCAATGACTTCAAACTCCTGAAATCAAGAGAATGTGATGTTAATACTTTTTTAAACAACTTAAAAGAATGACAATCAAGTATATAATCACCATAAACTCACCCGTCGTCTTTTATCGAAGTTGATGAAGCCATTCTGTAAGAGACATTACATTTAGTTTTACATTACAACCTGCTTTGGCCAATGCAATGTTGACTTATAGTTTTGTTTGACACATCTTGATTCTGTCAGATGAGCTTTGACAAACATTGTGAAACCACTGCTTTTTTATACTTCACAGCTTGATGAGCTGATACTGTCTGTTTTGTCTCTCTCTCTTTTTTTCTTAGTTGTGTTAGTCGTGTTTCATGGCGGGCTGTGAACCGTACATCACCTCTAATCTGTCTTTGACTGCAGTGTCCAGCATGGTGAGATCTCGGAGGAAGATGCCCAGGTACGGCACAGTGCCTTGAGCGCACGACTACAAAAGAAATACAGCATTCAAATGCATCAAAGATTATAAACACTATCACACTGTCATAAATATATGCATAGTTTTTGATATACACACTTACTACCAAGTTTGGGGTAAGAATTTTTTATGTTTTTGAAAGAAGTCTCTCATGCTCACCGAGGCTGCATTTATTTGATCAAAAGTACAATAAAATGTTAATATTATTGCAATTTAAAATAACTGTTTTCTATTTGAATATCTGTTCAAATGTAATTTATTCCTGAGATGCAAAGCTGAATTTTCAGCATCATTACTCCAGTTTTCAGTGTCACATGATCCTTCAGAAATCATATGCAAATCATGATTTATTTAAAAATTTTTGCTGCTTGATATTTTTTTGGGAACCTGTGATACTTTGTTTCAGGATTCTTTGATGAATAAAAAGTAAAAAATAACAGCATTTATTCAAAATAGAAATCTTTTGTAACAAAATACAGTTTAGGGTTAGTTTTTTTTCTTTTTCTTTTTAAATGAATACTTTCATTCAGCAATGATTAAATTGTTACAAAAAAGTGATAGTAAAATTTAAAATGTACTTATTTCCACAATATTACTGTTTTTACTGTATTTTTAAAGATATTTCTTTAAAAAAACATAAAAAATCGTACTGATCCCAAACTTTTAAACAGTAGTATATATTATTATTATTTATAATCATATTTATATTTCTATATTAAAATATATAAATTCTATATTCTATAAATATATTTTAAAATATATTTAATATATATTTATTAAAGGATGCTTACCCCTGTAAATCTCCTGTTGTTTATTTTAGTGTCAAGGTTTGAATATTTTGAAGTCCCCTCCTGTAAAATGAAAATGCTTGTATTACAGGAAACTTCAAATTTCAAAATTCAATTCAAAGGAAAATAGTTCAGTTCCTGTGTTCGCAAAATGTCTCTGTATGATGCATTTAAATCTGTCATGTTGTGGAATCCTAATGTGATTTCAGAGCTTCAGTGGAGAGTACTTTTATTATGATTTTATGGTTGTTGTTTTTTTGTCATTTTTGGACCTTCACAATAGTAATCACTGATCGGTTAAAGCTTAATTTCTCCCTTTGCGTTCCACAGAGAAAATAACAGCATAATGACATGAGGATGAGTAAATAATGACAGATTTTTCATTTTTATGTGAACTATTTCTCAAACAGCAATAGATAATGAAGTTTATAGTGTGAGGCTGTGTTTGTGCATGGCTGAATCTGATATTACTCATTCTATTCATGTCATTAGTTGCTACCCTCAGGCCGTGCTGAACTGATGCAGTGCTCTACAGTGATGAAGCACATCCAATGAGAATTTGACACAGAGAACCAGAGAACATCGATTGGCCTGATACTTTCCCATCAATGCATCGCCATGCTCTCTAATAACATTAGTGAACCGTTTGAATTGGCTGCTTTGTGTCATTGTGTGACAGACCTCTTTGAGTAGCTCGCGGCTCTGGGAGTAGTTGTCTTTCTCTGAGAAGATGTCAGAAAGTTCCTCGTATCTCTTCACAGCTTCTCTATCAGAGTAGAGAAAAGGACTTTAGGCTATTCTGCACTGCTACTGTTAAAAATGACGTTACATTTTCATTTAACATGAATATTTTTTTACATTTCAATGCAAATTGGAAATATAACGGTAAGGAATGTTCCAAATTAAATACAACTAAAATATTATTATAGAAAATTATTTGAAAAATCAATCAATCAATAAAAGTTTATAAGATTGTAAAAGTATTGGGATCATTTTACAATCTTATACAGCCAAAAGATATATATATAATAATGTGACCTAATTAAATTTCAAATATACAGATATTCAAATTGAAAATCTATTGTTTAAATCTTCAAAAGCTAAAATAATTTTTAAAATATACTGTGCAAAAGGGGCAAGAAAAATAAATTTCATTCTAAAATGCATTTTTGTGCAAATTTGTAATTATATTTTGCACAATATCAATATATTTAGATTAGATAGAACATATATTGAAGTAAACATAAGAAATATATTAAATGAAATAATATAAATTAAACTTATCTTATATAAATGAAACTTTATAAGACAAATTTTGTCTTATATTAATATCATATAAGACATAGAGAAATTGAAAGTAAAAAACTGACGGAGCTTTCTAACGCTGCATTAACGGCGCATATTCTCTGAAACAAGAGACAAAATTACTTCAATATAGGCTGATGATGGTATATAACTGTCTTAAATTATTCCCTTAATATTTCTCTTGTGGCCCCTGTAGTGAAAAACATGAAAAGAAACGTATTTCGCATTAAACGGGTTGTTTTTGAAAATCTGTGCACGAAATAAAGCTGCTCTTAATTTTCATCGATGACTGCAGTGTTAATAATTTGAATTAAAGGCCTATAATTCAATTGTATAAATTAATAGACTTGTTTAAAAAAAATCTCTCATATATCAAATTTTAAAATATATTTCAAACGTATATCTGAATATATCTGTATCTTTATGATTATTAATATGCTAATTTATAAATATAAGAAAAATAATTTAGATGTATATTTAGCATTAATATATTAATTTTCAATATATTACGTAAAATATATATTAGCAATATATATTTTTAAACCATTTTTTAAAATAGATTTAAAACATGAAAATATCTGCACCACAAATAAATATTGACTTAAATGATATTCCTTTAACGCATCGACAAGCAGTTTTCTAAGTAAACCCAGACCTGTCTGTCTCCTGCCAGGTCTTTCTCAGTCTGTGGATGGGATTACTCTGCAGTGCTGATAGAATGGCGTACAGTGAGGAGAAGTTCTTCCTGCTTCTGCAGGCCTGTTTGGGAAACAAACCACACACTCACGTGAGTCCTTCATCCTGATGGATGACAACATTTACAGTGAAACTGCTCTGACCTCTGCGACGCTGATCCATTTCTCCAGCAGTCTTGCCCTCTGTTGGCTCTTCAGAGCCGTGTTCCACAAGCACGAGGCTGTGACGGCGTTCGTTAAGCGATTAAACTGCTTGATAGTGGCTCTGACCGACCAGCACGCTCCTTCCCGGCCCTTCTTATCTCTCTGAGACCACAGAGACCCCAGACAGTGATAGGGCACCAGCTTCAGAAACAGATCCTTAAGGCAAAACAAAAGCATTTCATTTAAGGGCCTTACCGACAGGTCTGAGATGTTCACAGACTTTAAAGAGTGAAGCAAACTGAGACACATTTTACTTTTAGTTTCAGACTAATCGCTGGTCTTTTCCACAGATGTAAAGGAAGCATTTGTGAGCAGTATGATCAAACTCACAGTCTCGATCCTGGTCAGCTGCTCTGCGATCACACTGGATGGAAATCCCAGGATGCTAGTGGCATCAAACTCTGAGGGATCAGGAGGAGATGTCACACCTCTGGTAGGATCTGTAGGAAATCAATACATCAGTATGGAAAAATGGACAATAAGTACCGCTATGTCTATCTAATCTGGAACCAGATTTCAAAATGAATGCTTGCTAAGAGGCAAATGTGTTTATAAATGAAATCATCTGGGGTCAGTAGGATTTTTTTTGTTTTAAGAAATTAATACTTTTATTCTGCAAAGATGTGTTAAATTGATCAAAAGTCACAGTAAAGGCTTTTATGTTGTTACAAAAGATTTCGGTTTCAAATAAATGCTGTTTATTTGAACTTTCTGTTCATCCTGAAAATAATATAGCACTGTTTTCACAAAAATATTAAGCCGTTTCAACATTGCTAATCATATAAAATGTTTCTTGAGCAGCAAATCAACACATTAGAATGATTTCTGAAGGATCATGTGACACTGAAGACTGGAGGAATGATGCTGAAAATTCAGCGTTGCATCACAGGAATAAATATATATTTTTAAATAGTCATATAGAAAGCAGCTCTTTTAAATTGTAATAATATTTCACAATATTACAGGGTTTTTTCCCCTGTATTTTTGATTAAATGCAGCCTTGGGAGAGAATATGTGACCCTGGAGCACAAAAGCAGTCTTAAGTCGCTGGGGTATATTTGTAGCAATAGCCCAAAAAAACATTGTATGGGTCAAAATGATTGATTTTTCTTTTATGCCAAAAATCATTAGGATATTAAGTAAAGATCATGTTCCATGAAGATATTTTGTAAATTTCCTACCGTAAATATATCAAACTTAATTTTTGATTAGTAATATTCATTGCTAAGAACTTCATTTGGACAACTTTAAAGGCAATTTTCTCAGTATTTTGATTTTTTTGCACCCTCAGATTCCAGATTTTCAAATAGTTGTATCTTGACCAAATATTGTCCTATCCTAACAAACCAATGGAAAGCTCATTCCTTCAGCTTTTTTCAGATGATGTATAAATCTCAATTTCAAAAAAATTAACCCTTATGACTGTTTTTGTGGTCCAGGGTCACATATGAGACTTTTTCCAAAAACATTAAGAAATCTTGCAGACCCCAAAATTTTGAACACTAGTTTAGATAAAACTGAGTTTATGGCAACTGTTTTTGGGCTTACAACATAATGCATTGTTTAAAATTGCAGTGTACAGTCCAGTGAATTACAATGCGTTTTCCTGTCCTTCATGAGTAAGGGATAAAGTTTTTAAAAAATAATTTTCTGGAGCAATTTCTAGCCACTGAAAAATATTAGACTGATATTGACTACAGAATTTTCCCCTGACTTTTTAAGATTGTACTAATTTCCTTGACTTTTCAATAGCGATTTTAAAATCCCATGATTTCCAGGTATTTCGTGAGTGTGGGAAGCCTGAATATGAAAATGATCAAATATCAAAATGATCAAATGATGACAAATATCCTGACCTGAGAGCGAGCCGGACAGCAGGGCTTTCTCACTTAACTCCTCGGCGATCCTCAGCAGTCGGCCTTTGATTTCAGCACCCGAGGTGTCTGTGGGAAGGAGGGCGGCCAAGCGCAGCAGGCAGGCGGGATCGTTCAGAGAGCGGAAATCCTCAGGATAGTCACTCAGCCATGTGCTGAACACCATGCACACCGCCCTGAACACAGCAAGTGTGAATAAACACTCCACAATGCAGTTTAACAGAAAAAACAGGCTATTAATAACTTCTATTTATAGCTTGATGTATATCTATAGTAGTACATACTTGTTGAACATCTGACGAGTGTTACTTTTGCTCTCCCCAGGAGGATTTCCCAACCTAGAAAATAGTTCAATTGGAAATTAGGGGTTAATTTACTGTAATGTAAGTTAGTATCGCATAGTATTATATATAAAACAAATGTACACTACTTAATAATAGCCAATAAGAATAATAGGCAAATAAAATATTAACAACATTATTATTATCCTGTACTTGTAATGTATTTTATTTCTGTTTATTAACAGAATTCTGTTTCTGTTTATTAGACAATTTTTAAAAGACAATTGTTGGTATATTTTAAAATATATTTTGAATGTAAATCTAAAACACACACACACACACACACACACACACACACACATATATATATATATATATGTGTGTGTGTGTGCGCGTTTTTGTGACAAATGAGGACATACATTTGTATAATGACAAAGGTATGACATAGGTATTACAAGGAGAAGGTGACTTTTCAGGACATTACCCCATGTCCCCAAAAGCGCCTTCCAGTACACTTATTACAAGCTCTTCAGGTAAAGGGCCTTGCTTCTGGTCACAATAATTAAAGTCATTGCTCGATCTCTGTGGGAATCATTTGTCTCGTATAGCCAAACTCTTGATTAAAGGCATAACGTCTGCTTTAGTTTATTTTGGCCCGCCCACTTCACTAACATGAAAGTGTTAGTTTTTACCCTTTTATATAATTGTACATGCAATAAGTTAAGACTTGTGTGGAAAAACTCATTTAAATAAATGCACATTGTCAGTTCGCAAAACACAGACAAAATTAGTAGAAATGTGTGTAGACTTTGATTTTCAGTCCATCCAAAAGTAATAAATAATCATTATTGCACAGACATACTTTATACTACCGTTCAAATGTTCAAGCTCACGCTATTGGTTGAGCTGCACTTCAATTGGGAACTCTAACCTTGACCCTTATCTCAAATGGCTAAATATCAGCTCAATTATTAAACTTTGCTATTAGCTATAGCTAAATCTTGACTTTCTATCCTCACAATGGCTGCATTTAAAGCAAGGTAAGATTGCACAATGGCAGTTGTGTCGGATTTGACATTTAAACCCTAAACTCTCTGAAAAGGCATCACATTTACATGTTATCTCCAACAAAAACTTAATGTAGGAGTGAAATTTACTCAACACATTTGACATAGATTTTCCGACATTAAAAATGCATGAGACAACAGGCCAAAAACAAACCCAGTGACACGGTTATGAGTAACTGTCTGAAACGTCCACATGCTTTCCGGCCCACATCAATCACTTACTAAGATCAATGTTCAAATTTGAACACAAATTTGAGATATTTACTTCAAAACCTGCTACTTTGCCTGAGCATGAAATGCTAAATTGTTTCAAAGCACACAAGATACTTTATAATATAAGTCTTGAGAAAAGCCATAACCCTAAGCAAACCAAAACATTCATTCATTATCTCAGTTGCAGATCACTTGCTTAAAATCATTCATTGTTGTGTTTGCCACAAATCGAAAAACTACTCAAGGAAAAAACACTACCTTCAACTCAGCGAGTCCAGACAGGCAGAGATCTACCAACTTCCTGGAAATCCTTATAGATTGCCGGAGAACTCCATCTCCTTCAGGCCTTTTCATCTGTTCGATTTAATCTATTTTTCTTGCTGCTGCTTACAGAGGGGTGTTGATTTCATTCAGCAAGATTCTTAGTCTGTCTTTCTTCCCCGCTCAAGTCTCACTCTCTCTGTTATGGAGCCGTGCAAACACACCTGAGCTTGTCGCTAGGCCAACCCCCTACACACACTCACACACACACACACACACA